GAGAGTGATGATGATGACGATGATGATGATGATGATGATGATGATGATGATGATGATGATGATGATGATGATGATGATGATGATGATGATGATGATGGTTGTGATGATATGATAATTTTTTAAATTCAAATGTATGATGAGGAATGCTCGCAGAGTTATGTATGCATGCACTATTGTGTGTGTGTGTGTATGTCTGTCTGTATGTATGTGTGTGTCAGTCTGTGTGTCTGTCTGTCTGTCTGTCTGTCTGTGTGTGTCTGTGTGTGTCTGTGTGTGTGTGTGTCTGTGTGTATGCATGTGTGTGTGTGTATGTTTGTAAAAAGGGCGGTGCCATACTTGGAGAAACAAGCTGTTGTGTTTTTTCATGATGATAGCGATAAAACTGATCCTGGGGAGGAGAACGAGGAGGAGGGGTAGGAGAAGGTGGGGGATTACAACATCAACCCCACCACCACCACCACCACCACCAACAACAACAACAACAACAACACCAATGTTCCAATAAAAAAACCCAATGACAATCGACTCAGAAATCTTAAAAACGTACGAACAGAATAAGGGGGCACACAATCAACAGACTAGCAAAAATACACAGATAATATCATCTCATCCAAACCATCATAATCTATGGCCAGCCCATTCGGCCATTGGATGCCTGTGTCTGTCAAGGTCTTCCTGTTGGAGCCGTCATAACTGGCAGACTCGATCTTAGGGTTCGCTCCCCAGTCGCTCCAATACATTGTTCTGTAGAGAGGAAAAAAACGATTAGCCAATGTCCTTCTTTAACTTTCTATATTATACAGGAACACTGAGTTTTCATAAAAGTAAAAGGAAACGTAAATAATAATACTATTAATAGTAATAATAGTAAGAAAAAACGAAAAAAAACACAATAATAATAATAATAATAATAATAATAATAATAATAATAATAATAACAATCAGGAGTGCTCAAGTTACAACACACGCTTTAATTCATGATGAATACTAAGTTGTGTGTTTTGAAACAAATTTTCACTGAATAATACGTTATTTTAGCTTAATCTACTTATCCACCAATTGACTTACCTCTCAGGGTCTTTAGGAAAACGGAAAAAAAAGCTAATTCAAGTCGTCTGGTTTTGTAAAATTAGGAAACGACGTTGTGTCCGTAGGAAAGGCACTTTACATAAATGTTTCTCACTTCACCCAGGTGGGAATAGCTGCCTCCCAACAGGGCAGTGCTACTGACTGTTGTTGTCTTTAGGCCATTCCCAAAAGGGGGGAGGGGGTGGTTGTATTAACTTGTTCTTATGCACAGTAGAGTTGTAAATGGGCTGATGTATCACTGTCATACTCATACAAGAGACCTAGCAACGTAAACGAGACAGTACAGTTTGGCCCTGACCGTGAATCTGACCAATCCCGTGGCAAAGGGAACTGGGACGGTAAACTCTAACAAACATGGCTTATTCTAAGATCACACACTGTGATGGTTTGCAAGGTTAAAGTCGGACACCTGCCAATTATTAGTGTAGATGCGTTACGCCACCATCAACACAATTTAGATCATTTAAGAGATTGTGGTTTTACCCTATGTTTCAGGACTATCCAGGGCAAGAGGAATATAACGTCATAGCAGACAGATGGAGATACTCGATTAAAAATCCTTCCTATGTGAGAATTAAAATAACGTTTTCCACTTTCAGCGGCGAAGTGTCTAAACGCCACACTAACGTTTCAGGATTTCTAATCAAGTTTTCGACATATTTTCTCAGACACCAGGCGACCCCACATCGTTCATGCGCAGATTTTTCGACTTCTGTTCAAGATAGATGGGTATTTTTTTCATCAAAAGCAAGAACTATAGTGGTTCAATAGCTCCATGTTATGCCCAAAACCCAACGAGCGTCTGATTCCACTGCGCCTTGACACATTTAACGTCGGTTTGTCTAATAAGAATTGCACTGATATTTTGTTGGTCAGCTGGTCTTGTATAAAGGAAACGACATAGTTCATCCTTGCTCAGCGCTTAACAGATAAAAATGAATGTGAACTCTCCATTTGGACATAAATGGACCTACTACGCACATGCTAGTTCTTCATTACCAAATGGGTTGCATAAATTGAGTCGTTATAACGTAATAAGCGAAAAGTGTATTTGACGTATTTTTAAAATGGGGAGGGGGGAGGGGGTTGTAAATGTACTTTAAGCCCTTGATCGAATAGTAAATAACCCTATTTAATTCGAACAGGTGTCAGTGACATTCAATATCATGTATTTTACGATACCATTCTCATTGCTCAAAACTAATAAATGAATAGTCTAAAAATGACGTACTTGGTAGTTGGGTCCAGTACGATCTCTCTAGGCTGGTCAAGGCCTGAGGTGATGACCTCCTTATAGCCGGAGCCGTCAAGGTTCATCATGGCGATCACGTCATTTCCAGCGTCCGTGTAGAAGAGCAGACGATTGAGTGGGTCAACCTCGACCTTCTCCAGAATTGCGCCTGTGGAGTATATATACAATGTACCTACGTATTAATCTGCGTGTATATACATATTTATTTATATATATATATATATATATATATATATATATATATATATATAGAGAGAGAGAGAGAGAGAGAGAGAGAGAGAGAGAGATAGATAGATAGATAGATAGATAGATAGATAGATAGATAGATAGATAGATCGATCGATAGATAGATCGATAGATAGATCGATAGATAGATAGATAGATAGATAGATAGATAGATAGATAGATAGATAGATAGATATAAATTATGATAACAGCTATTCTACGTCTATATAGACACAATTTTAAATCATTTAGGAGGCAGGCTTCTCTAACCTGCCTGTCAGGGCTAGCCCAAGCTGAGAGGAATACAGAGGGATACAATGTTTGAATCATTAAAAGGAAATACTAGCTCAAAGAATTCTCCCCATTCGGGAATCTAACTTTATTTTGGAAGGGGGGGGGGGTTGCCTACAACGATGGGTGATTATGGCTACCACTTCAAAGCTGTTCAACCGACAGGCAGTTCCTCTTTTATGGACGCGACGTTAACTTGGATGGTATCATACTGGATAACGGAGCATGGCCCTGGTTCAAATACCAGACTGGGTTTTTAAAACTGTGGTCGTTTTGTCGAGTCTCCAAGGCTTGCAACTCATGTTGGCTCCGTCATTATCGGATATGGATTCTAAAATTCGGAGGTCCAGTCACTTTAATAACCTAATTGTATTGATACATGAGTTAATTCAACACATTTATTCTCACTTTAGCGGGAAATCTTTTGTTTTTAAAAAGTCAAGAATCTTAGTTTTACAAGCTTTCAAGGTGTGCATAATATGTAGGCCGGCTGTAAATCGATGTCGTCAAAACAAAGTTTTTTAAAAGTTGGACCTACCAGGCAGATTTCATTTTTTAAATGTACCCAACTCTCTGCAATACCTCCCAAACACATTGAGCCCATTTTTAGTTTTCAACTTACTCGAAGTCAACTGATGGATATTTTTGGCGTCAGTTCCATCAAAATTGACGGTGACAATTTGGAAAAGGCGTGGATCCACAAAGTAGATTCGACCCATGCTTGGGTCGTAGTCAAAAGACGAAGGTGAGTAAAGTCGGTTGATCGGGATGGGTGTGAAGGACTGACTACGCAGGTCCATGCGGAAGATCATGCCGCCCAGCCCCGTGTCCAGGAGGAAGATGACATCATCCTCAGGGGTTACTGAAAAGAGGAAGATGTTGAGATAGGCGAGTTCATATGAACATGAGTGGTCTAACCATACACTTTGATAACAACATAATACCTAAGACAGTGCATTATCATAGCTGCTGGTTTTTTGTATCTACAAAAACTTCCTTGAGCTGGTGTAAGCCATTGGTCTCTCGCTATGACTGAGTGCAAGAGCAGCCTTATCAATTTTTCTTTCATTTTGCTCCAATTTGAATCAAATGGTGCTCTCAATACTTAACCCGAATATGTCAGAGTGAACGATCTTGGATACTACCAAACATGACCTTGACTCTAACTCAAAGTTCAGTAATTTTGAGGAAGAAAAGATGTTTTAATAGGGTCATAGAATTATGAAGTTAATAGAGAGAGAGAGAGAGGAGAGAGAGAGATACAGAGAGAGAGACATATAGACAGACAGACAGACAGGCAGACAGACAGACAGACAGACAGACAGACAGACAGACAGACAGACAGACAGACAGACAAACAGACAGACCGAGAAGGAGAGAAGGAGAGAGATAGGGAGAGAAACAGACAGACACACAGATGGGCAGACAGAGAGACAGACAAAAACAAACAAACAAACAAACAAACAAAAAGACAGACAGACAGACATATACACCCCATCTACTCACCCGCCGGACACATGACCCCTGCGTCCTCCCCGTGGTCACAGTCATGTATACCCCACTGGCCGTGTGGACAGTCTATCAGGCTGGCCTCATCTCCTGTACAGTTCACGTTCTCTAGCCAGATCCTGGAGCCCAATCCGGGTCGGAAGGCGCCGCCCGTGAGACCTCCTGCGCCATCCCTGATGATGAAGAGTAAGTCTTTGTCATTGTTGGTGTCGTTGTTGGTGGTGTTTGTGGTTGTGGTGTTGGTGGTGGTGATGTTGGTTTTGTTGGTGCTGGTGTGACTTGTGCGGTGGTGGGGTTGTGGTGGTATTCATGGTAGTGATGTTGATGGTGTTGATGGTGTTGGTGGTAGTGATGTTTGTGGTGTTGGTGGTGTTGGTGGTGTTGGTGGTGTTGGTGGTGTTGGATGTGTTTGTGGTGGTGTTGGATGTGTTTGTGGTGGTAATGTTGTTTTTGTTGGTGTTGGTGGTATTCATGGTGTTGGTGTTGCTGGTGATGTTGGTGATGTTGGTGGTGGTGTTGTTGGTGGTGTTGGTGTTGGTGGTGGTGTTGTTGTTGGTGGTGGTGTTGATGGTGGTGGTGTTGGTGGTGGTGTTGGTGGTGGTGATGTTGGTGGTGCTGGTGGTGTTGGTGGTGTTCGTAATAGTGATGTTGTTTTTGTTGGTGTTAATGATGTTTTTTTGTGGTATTTAAGGTGGTGGTAACGTTGGCTTGTTTTTTGGTCGTTTCTGAGGGTTGTCATTTGTGTAGTTGCGGTTGTAGTTCTGGTGGTGGTTGTTTTTGTAGTTGTTGCTTTTGTTTTTTAAATTGTTTTGTTGTGTTAGGTTTGTTGTTTAAATGATGATGATGATGATGATGATGATGATGATGATGATGATGATGATGATGATGATGATGATGATGATCTCTTCCCTCACCGCCAACCCAACCTCACCCCCAATAATGACAGTGTAATGATTAATGAAACATCATTAAAGACCTACAAATAGGAGAATCAAACTCATGCCTTCTCTGTGCTGCGGTTTGCAAGACGTGGCTTGCATGCTTATATCACAATATATCTGTCACAGAAATGAAGCAACTTTAACCAGACGATGATGGTGTTCTCGTTATCATTTCGGGTGTTGTTTCAATTCTTAATAATGTGGTTGTGGTTGAAGTGAACCTGCCTGAAATTGGTACGATTGCGTCGGTTGTCTTCTTTGAAAACATGGGTTTTTTTGTTTTGTTTGGTTTGGTTTTGATGGTAGTTGTCGTTGGTTTGTTGTTGTTTTGTTGTTGTTGTTGTTTTTGTTTAAGTTTTTCTTTTTTTCAAATTTTGTATGTTCTTGTTCATAATTGATTTTACGGTTGTAAAAAGTAATGTTTCATTGGACCTCCTGATAAAAAACCCACTGTGTTAACCGACGATTCGTGTCGTATAAATCACTTTTTGCGGGGGGTTTTGTAATTGGTTACATTTATTTTACCTTTGCTTATACACAGTAGTCTATGAGGTAAGTATAAACGTTTCGCTGTCACACGCAGAAAATGTGAGTTTGATTCTTAAGAGGAAGAGAGCGAGGGGGGGGGAGAGAGAGAGAGAGAGAGAGAGACAGAGACAGAGACAGAGACAGAGACAGAAAATGAGACAGGGGGAGATTTATAGAGTACTAAATATGTAATTCTTCTATCTACCTATACATTATATAATTTCTCTAAGCTCGGGTTGGCCCTGACAGGCAGCATCGAAATAGCCCGCCTCCTATATTATCTAAAGTGTGTTGATGAGTGCAAAACAGACCTAAAACTGCTGCTGTGACACCAACAAATGCATTAAATTAAAATAATATTCACAGTCAAAAAGCTTCATCAATATACGTGAATTTAAAAATGCATTGCCTTCGATCAATGGACTACTTACCCTTTGTAGCCCAACATCTTGCACACGACCTTTGCATCATTTCCAGACCATTTGTCATCACAGATTGTACCCCACTGGTTGTTGTAAAATACTTCCACAGTGCCCTCGAAAGCGTTGGTTCCACCAATCAAACGAACGTAGATGTCAGCGCTTGCGGGGATACCCACAGTCGGGGACGTCTCTGACAGGTGAACAAATGCAACGTTTATAAGCAATTCTATTTTCATAAAGGTAAAGAATTGTTATTTTAGAATGTGTAAATGTATCAAAGAGTTATGTACCCTATCATGTTGTGTATGAACGGTCTATAAATCTACACAATCGCTAGTAAACTTTCTTATTCACATAGCCGGCAATCTTCGCCCCTATAAAGTGCGGTCAAAAAATCGTGGCGCAACTTATCCTCAAATATCTCTTTAACAGGTGAATCAATGTCATCCTTACTTTGCACAACAGTTTGTATCAATTTGTCTTAACTAAATCATATTTTTCCAGAACAACTGGGGCCATATTTAAAAAAAATTGTTCTTCATAAATTTTTATAAAATACTTGAAATCTCTGTCACATCTAAAATAGTATTATTTATAGCACTTCTCACACACATTTTGATTACGCATAAGGTCTACGTCACCGTTCATCAATGGCAATTTTTACTTGCAAAACTTGTTACAAGAAATCATTTTTATAATGAACACAATTTTGCACTAATGGTTGTCAAAACATGCGTTCAATAAGCTTAATGTGCGCGCTCATATAACCTTAGCAGTTGCGAGCGCCGTAAAACCCTATTCTACATACATACATACATACAAGCTTAATGTCCCTATTAGAAAAACATGATGGACTTGCTATTGAAAGCAATATTGCCCCAGCTGTAAACGTTTCAAAATCTGTAGAAACCAGCAGCTTGGATTTTTTATTTTAGCATTTATTAAGAAACTTTCTAAAATACAGCTATCAGGTGTTTACAAAATGTTGATCTCGTAAGACAAACTGATGCAAGTCATTGTGCAAAAATTGGAGAACTTACGTTCAATAGTTAAGGATATATTTGACAATAAGTCGCGCCACGAATTTTTGGCAGCACTATAAGTACCCTCCAATAGCCAACCGTGCATAGCCACCTTCACGTACCTATGTTCCTTTTTGCATACCTAGTTATCTACTCATCTAAATAGCTACCAACCTACATACCTGTCGTTCTACCTATCTATCCAGCTAACTAACCACATACTTGCCTGTACATTTAGCTGTCAAAATCGACATCTATCTATCTATCCATCAAAATTATGTGTGCATGTATAAATCCACCTGCATATAATCAGCCTTCTCGTGTTTCTCTACTCTACCCTTTTGAAGTGTTCTTGTCATTTGATTAACGGACTGATGGGCTGGGAAGTTTTTTTCTATAACAAGGATGGCCGCTCCGCGACCCCCCACTTCCATTTTTTCCAACATAAACAATAGCGTGCATGTACACAGACACACAAACACAAGCACACATAAACCCAAAATGCATAGACCCCTGAACACAGGCTTACATACACTTCCTGGGCATATCTCCACATTCTTCCCCAAGCAAGATCTACAATTATAATATTTTTAAAATGATATTGATTTTGCATAGCGTGTAGTCCCACTCCGTAGCAAGCTATAATAAAATTCGTTGAAGTATTACCCCAACAGACACTAGATCACTCAGAAACATTCTCGGCTTCCTGGCAAGAATACAAAGCAAGTGGCTGATAAAGCGCTCAAACACTAACCAGCTAACAAGAGCTGTCACTATCTATAACTGGGTATCCATTTATACTGGGTGAAGTGACGAAAGTCCGTGTTATATCTTTCCCAAGGGCACTACCCCTGGTCCTCTACCCACTAAGTCCTTATGGACACATTCCAACTGAGCCAACAAACCTCCCTGATAAATTGTGTTGATGGAAGCATAAACCATTTACACTTACATTTACAAATGTTATTTTTGGGATGGCACCGAAAGTCTAGTCGCTATCTCAGAATTACAAAGTTCTATCAGACATTTTTGGCCGTTTTGAGTTACTAAGACCATGAGGTCAGAAACCAAATGTCCCATCTGCTCTCTCAAAATCCTAAGATTATTCGGAGACATTATCAAGATATTCAAAACACTTCACTGCATTAAAAAAAAAGATTGAAATGTTGTGAAACTGAAAATCTTTTACGTCAAATTTCTCAAATTAAAACTAGGTACTGTACGGATAGAACTTTGTAATTCTGAGGTAGCGTAGTGGTTAGGCTCGGTTATATCGGAGATGGGCGTTTAAATTCGGAGGTTTCGACTAAAAAAAAACCCATTACTGCGCAATGTTGCATGCTAAACCTGTACCATTTTGCACATTTTACTCCAGTCATCAAAGGAAAAACATGACAATCCAAACAGAAACTTACCTGACCCACGAACGAGAATTATGCCTCCCCTCGACACCTCATGGTATAAGAGGACAAAAAAGTTTTTAAAAAGTACACCTGTCATCATATTTAGCCCAGATGGCAATGGTGGCCTTGTGGTGAGGTTACTGGACCCGTGATCGCGAAATTAAGGGTTTGGGGGTTCGATTCTCAGCTCTGCCCGACGTAGTGTCCTTGAGAAAGGCACTTTACACGAATTTCCCATTTGGCTCTGTCATTCGGAGATGGAGGTGTTACCAGGAGGTCCGGCCTCTTAAATAACCTAATAGTGTTGATAGGGGCGATAAACTTATACCATTTCACCATTTCTTTTCCACGCTTAGTCCTAATCCGCACACCTGATTGGTTCGTTCGTTCACTCACCCCTGTCGACACAGAGTTCGCTGTTGCAGTTATCCGTTAGGCAGCATTTGTTGCACAGTGTGACGTCACGCGTCACGGGGTGCTTGTCTGGTTCTGAACGGACATTTCTCTTCCCAACTAGCTCTCCGTTCCCCAGCACGTCACAAATCTGGTCAGAGAAAATCAACCTTTTTTATTCAACGAACGACGACAGAAATCGATATCTGGAAATGGCGTTGTTGGAAAAATAGAAAGGAATAATTATGTTAAGGGTCATTTATTGAAGGTGAAAAGCACGACGTACAGACTGAAATAACAGAAGGAAAGAAAAAGTAGGGTTTAATTTTTAAAAATATATATAAAAAAAGAAGCAAAATGTCGTTTCTGGGACAATTTGAAAACAGAAACAACAGAGGACAGAGGGGAACGGAAGAAGAAGAAGGGCGGAAAAGGGGAAACATAAACCGACATATGAATTACGCCCAGGGAAGCACGATTTTGTTCTAAAGCACTTTGGGATGCTCCTGAAGAGTGATTTTGTGTGAAGGTCACAGCTTTTATGTCTTTTGCCACGAGTCGTTCAACAGAAATTAGGTTCATACATAGACTTGAATAGCAACAATATAGTTGCTTTCTTTTGTTGAAGTACGCCCCGAATATTTTTAAAAGCCATTCTGTATCTTTTATTACTACACTACAACTTCAAATTGTAATGCCATACATTAACCTCAGTCAAAGATAAACATAGAATTCTCGGTTCAAATTCGAGACTTTAGATTGATTTCAAATGTAACAAAAAACGCAACTAAAAATGCCACAGACCTTCAATTGTCACACTATTTATAGAGTAGGCGGGGTGAAGGGATAGTGGAGAAGGGTTGACAGTTTTTGGTAAACAAAAGTTTAGTACCTTGAAAATGTACATGAAAATCTTTTCTCAAACAGGCGTGTATGCCCCTGAAGACTACCTTCAGTTCTCCACGAGTTGGGAGGAGCGACTCTTGATTTGGCCGATTTTGGGTGACACTATGCAACTTGATATGTTTGCTGCTGATTTTTTAAGGTCAACCAATTCTTTGTTTTAAAATGGCAAGGACATAATTGAGAACATCTTTATTCTCGTCGTAAATTGCCTTTGAAAACATGAGGCTGGGTTAAATGTATTGAGTTTTCACAATGATTGTCGTTTTTTACTAAATGTCTTTTTTTTTGCAGTCCCCCCCCCCCAACTCCCTCCTTAATTTCCGTCCTTTTTACATGAAACGTTCAGTTAACATAGATGGCAAGACTGCCACCAGTGTAACAGGGAGATGTTTGTGAAAAATATAACACGTTTCCATTGGCAGGAGATTACACGTCTACTTACATCGGGAAAATTATCTTTTTTTTCTTTTCCACTTATTGAAAATACTCTCGGTTACGTTGATAGGGACTGATTCAGGTATACTCTCAACAAATTTGGTCAATTCCTGCGCGCTCGTATGACCTGTTATTATTATTGTTATTATTATTATTATTATCATTATTATTATTATTATTATTATTATTATTATTATTATTATCATTATTATATAATTATTGTTACTATTATTAAGACTTTTGTAATTAATATCGTATGATTATCATCATTATTATCGTTATCATTATTAAGTAAAAACAACTCAAACCATAAAGGTTACGACCTCAGAAGCATATTCTACAGAAGACAATAATGTTCACTTACAAGTCTCTTTTCACAGCCCATGTTGTAGTAAGTGATTGCGTTGCTGTCCATCATTTGCTCAACATAGCAGGACTGAGGATTTACAAACACCATGTTAACGCTTTGAAGACGAAGCGAACACATAATTATCATGTCCTATCAGTAGCAGAGCAAAAACGACGTTTCGGTTCATTTTTTACCATCATTTATTATAAATCAGACATACGAGTTTGCATAGTTCTTAGTACACGTGTTGCTGCTTAGTATTCAAAGATTTTAGATACAGGAGACAAAATCGAAATATTTGCTTGAATAATGAAGTTAAGGCTCAAAACAGCAAATTTTAATCTTCAAGCGTTGTAGAATTACCAGAATGCACGACCTCAATGAGTTAAACAGACATGGCTACATGTGTTGTGACATGTGACCAAGTTAGATAAAATAGAATGAAAGGAAAATAATATTATAAACTCAAATGAAGTAGTGCTGAAAATAGCCTGCGTTGGCTTCACATGCTAACTTAAAACAAATAAAAAGATACAAAACCAGTTTCTCGAACACTTGAATCGACATAAATACTATTTTGCGTTCATATATTGGAAAACATAAGGGGAAACAGACAAGAGTGGATCAAGGGCAAAGTTGTTTTAGAGAACCTTAGCAGATCTGTATATCAACATTCCTCTTATTAATATCTCGTCGATTTACAATTAGAGTCGTGATGTTTTATCCAGGCCTCTTGTACACGCTCAGATTTATAAACGTTGAGAGCGAGAGAGAGAGAGAGAGAGAGAGAGAGAGAGAGAGATATGAAAGAGTGGGAGAGAGAGTAAAATAGAGAGAGAGTTTGTATGTGCGTGTGTGTGTGTGTGTGTGTGTGTGTGTGTGTGTGTGTGTGTGTGTGTGTGTGTGAAAGAGAGAGAGCGCGCCAAGAGAAAGATTGGGAAATTGGGAAACTTAGAGAAAAGAAGAGATGCACAGGAACATTACAAGAGACAAATCGTAACGGACATTTCTTACCTCGCCAGTAGGACAATTTACCAACGTCTGACATTTTGATGGGTCGTCAATGTTCTTACACTGGTAACATGATAAATCTAGAGAAAGAACAAAGGTAAATGTATTAATTAGACTATCTAGTATCTCCCACCCCTGCAACCCCACCCCCACCCCCCACCCCTCTCTCTCTCTCTCTCTCTCTCTCTCTCTCTCTCTCTCTCTCTCTCTCTCTCTCTCTCTCTCTCTCTTCGATACTCTTTGCTATTTATCTTTTGATCTGTTTATTTGTCTTCCTGCTATTTTTCTATCTAGCAAATTTGTTATAAAACAGAGTTACTGTGCTGGTGACCCTGCTTGAAAAGCACAATTGTCGTGCCTACTTTTACTACCCTCAAAGACAGAGTATGTCTTTTCACAAATAAAGTTAGCATTGAAAAGTCTCGTGCCAGATTATCTGAAACTCGGTTTTAACCATCTCCCTAAAGAATGGATCAATTGAACGATTTCCCTTATTTTTTAGTTTGTTTTTGTTTGGGTATAGAGATGCACATCAACACGATAAATATTTAGTGCTGGGAAAAGTAAGACTGATAATTATACATAAATTGCAGAGGAAAAGTAAAGAAATAGGACTTACCCCTCGCGCCCTCCAACCATCGGTGATCTTTTTTTTAAAAACTGTTTTGACCAACTTGGTCGTCTTTTAAATTAATAAACATGTTTTCATTGGCATTGTCTACAGATTGGCTACTCTTCTTAAATTGGAACGTTCGAGTTAAAAGTCAATTTGTTCCCAAATTTTATCAAAAAGTTTTAACGCGTTGAAATCGTCTTTCGAGCAAGATGTTACGGTGACCCCCACGTGGAGACAGCGAACGTGTGACGTAGCAGGTTAAATGAGGTCTGGATAGAGGGCTCAAGTTAACTCTACCATAGCGACAACCCCTCATTTTGTATTAACCATCTTAGCACCATAAATAGGTGAGCAGGTCAGCACAGCAGACCCAAAATGGCGGCCAGCTGATGGCTTCCCGGAACCGAATTATTTCAGTGTTTTTCAGAGGGTCAAGGGGAGTAGCAAAGAAATTGCTTTTGCTTTTGATCAAAGCAACTTACTTCAGTGAAATTTTCAATACGAAGACCTAGGACGACGTCAGCATTTAAATTTAGAGTGAAATGTTCTAATGTCTAAGCCTGCACTAAAGGCGTGTGTGTCAGGCCGGTAAAAGCGGGCACTGCTCTACATCAGATAAGCCGGTAAAAGTCGGCATGGCAACGCGATGGGAAGGCTGGTTCAGACCTGTATTACTTACTTTACTTACTCTCTTCCTATACCGTCAGTTACATAAGGTGGAGAGCAGTCGACGCCACGGTTGTCTGTCCCTAGCCACTTTCTCCAGTTTCGTCACATCTAGGCCCTCGGTGATTGCATAATCTCTTATTGTGGCTCTGTAGCTTCCAGTTGGTCTTCTTCGCTCCCTCTTTCCAGTTGGTTTCCAGTGCCATGTCTCATAGGGCAATCTCGTCTTCGGCATTCTCAGAACTTGTCCCATATATCTCCATCTTCTCCTTTTTAGTGCTGTGATGATATTTTCAATTCCAGCTCTTTCCAACACTTCATCATTTGTAATAAATTCATTCCATTTAATTAGTAAAATTCTTCGTAGACATTTTGTTTGGAAGCTTTTGACTTTCTTTGAATTGTTTTGTTTGTTTTCCATATCTCTGAACCATACGTCAATACAGCAAAAATATTGCTATCAATATTTTTTAAATATCATCTTCAATGAAATAATCTTTGACTTCCATATCGTTTTTAATTTCCCAAAAGTTAGACCCGTATGGCTAAAGAAAAAAAGATCTAGGAGGAGCGTGAGGTCGGGGTTAGTTTTGTTTGTTTGTTGTTGTTGTTTTTTTGGGGGGTTAGTGTTTTTTAATGGTCTTGGTGACAGAGGTGGACGCAGTGTTGGCCTCAATGTAAGATTCTTACGTCGGGCTCGTAAATGGTTGGCGGGTGCTCTAGTGTGGTTTGCTTCCTTCTTTCCTCTCAAATATCTATCGCCTTTCTATTTCCTCCTTCCTTTCTTTGTATGTTACTGTTTAATGAAAGCTCTACTCTTCTGCACTTTTATGTCCTAATTAATTTAGTAGTAAGTGTCGTAAAAGTCTTACTAAAACTAAACTAAAGTAGGGCTAATATATCGGCTTTCATCACTAGATCAGGTCAACTTTATATTGATATTCATTGAAAGAAAACAGTTTTCGCTTTTGTCTCTTAGCGACAATTAACCCATATTTTGAAGATGGAAGTAGTTCGGAGGTTAGACAATTGTGGATTCATAAAAGTTGATTTTTGTTTAATCAAAAAAGAAAGGTGAAGAAATTGGTTCAAAGTACATATTTTATAATAGGTTGTGTTTTGACCTCATATAAGTGAATGAAGTCATCTAAGCCGTTAGGCCATGCACAAAGAACCAAATTCAAAAGAGCCTGACCCTTCGTTTACCTGCAAACGTTTGTACATCAATGCTTTCGTGTACCTCGACAGCATTATGTGTACTGAATGACCGGCCACAACGTCTAATGGTATGTTTTCTCCTAATGGTATCGAAAGCCGCTCCTCCCCCCCCCCCTGAAAAAAATCATAAATCCTTTGATCTCCCCAACCCTTTTGCAAAAATGAAAATAACAATAGCAAAAACAGCAAAAACCTTCAAAACGCAAAGGGCGCGTATAATCACATCTGCTCTATTCAATACACACCTGCTGATATTGGTGATGCAAGCATCAGGAGTACCAAAGATGGCACTGAAAGAGAAAAATTGTTATTATGTTAGCAACAGAAAATTCGGATCGAAAGTGATGATCTTATTTACCCCCCCCCCCTTCCCCCGCGCACACACACACACAAACACACACACACACACACACACACACACACACGCACACACACACACACACATACACATACACACGCAAACAAACATACACACATACACGCACACAAACAAACATAAACAAACATACACACATACACACATACACACACTTTTTTTTGTTTTCGCCCAATCTTCGTGGTATGTTATTATTGACACACTTGTTTACTAAAATCCTTATCTTGTTATATTCACGCAGCTAAGAATCTTTGTAATAACTAACATTATGAAACCAATGTTTTCAACTCAAGGACGAAATTTGGCTCAAAATTAATAATATGGCACAAAAGGAGGAGGCGGGCTGCTTCGACGTGTTTCAGTCAAATCCCGCCCGGGCTGAGAGTGACACAACGTACCAAATAGTAGACGGAGATACTTCTTCTTTTTCTTCTTCTTCTATCCCGAGGTTGGGGCACCCATGGAGGCACCACTGCATCTATTCTGACAACCAGCTCTCGCCATTTCTCTTTGTCCTCTTCTTAAATATACTAGATCCCCACAAAAAAATTCCGCATTCGGGCTTCAAACTCAAAATCCTCTGCGTGCGACGACGAAAGGCCTAACAGCTACACCATTGAAGTGGACTTTGGGTATGTACTGTAAGCACTTGACCAAGTAACCTGTCTTAAACGTTAACCTTTCTGTGCCTGCAAACGGCGTTACACTCTAACAAAAACCCTGCTACGAAAGCTATTAAATAGCATAAACCAAGACCAATTATCGCGATTATCTGGAGTGCGATTCGTACGAGTCAATCTATCATAATAATAATAACATATTCTTAATTTTCTTTTTTTTACTTTTTTTTTTCTCCAGAAGACACGCTTTGTCGTTCAGCGCTGTTCAGATGTACTAAGATCATTTTCAAATACAGTCCTTAATCTGTAGTATCCACTGCATGTGCTCAAGAAGTAATTTGTCAAAATAAAAATTTTTAATGTTGAAAAATAATCAAGAAAAGATAATATATATATATATTATTATGTATGTATGTATACATTATATGCAGTCTTTAAAAGAATGAAACAGTATTTGTTACATCCCACTGTTGAAATATTTTGCTTTCTCGGCTTAAAACATTTTAACAGCTGAAAGTGCTAGATTTCTTGCTAATGAACTTGAGAAGAATACAGTCCTATATGTATTTTCAGGTGTGCAGGTGTGTTGTGTATGAGTTTA